TATGGTATAGAGCCTGAGATATGCCTTGCTGAGGACATACTTAGTGAGGCAGTGAAGCTCCTCCAGTACAAAGCTTCAAGGAATTAAAGTTGCCATGGCTAGATATCTGGGGTGAAAATGGTCACTTAACTAACTCTCTCCACACCAGGATATTTTTACTTATCTACAGTTTGTGTCAGAGGTAGAGCTATGATCTGAAAGACCAGGTTTGGGAGGGCTGGGAAAGGCTATCCCTCATCGGTGAAGAGAAAGTACACCCAGAGGAAGAGATGTGCTTGGTAATGGAAACTCTTAACCACAACACCAAGATCTTTGGAGAAGAGGGAGACTTTTAAAGAGTCCACAAGGTCTTTGGTCTTTGAAATTGTCTTGTTTAAAGGCCGTGTAATTTTAGTAAACCAACCTGTGCATTCCTCTGGAGACTTAGAATCCTGCATGACAGCAGCAGCAGCATGCTACAACAGGCTTCTGGGGAAAGCTTTTGCCAGGTCCAGTCCAAGCTGGTTGTGTTGAATGTCATGAGTAGTTCTCAGATGGCTCTAAGTCACCCTGAGATCAGCTCTGTTGGTTAGAGCATGGTACTGTTAATGCCAAGGTCGTGGATTTGATCCCTGTGCTGGCCGTTCACTTAGGAACATGGGTGGCTTCCAGCTCAGAATGTTCTGTGGTTCTGTGAGGTTGGGTGGGAGTGGGTGACCTGCAGATGTGCTTTCCTAGAGAGACCAATGTTCCCACAGAACTGTGATACAACTTGTCAGCATTGAACATGCATGGCTAATGCAGGAATTCAGAGGGTGCAATCTGCATTCCAGTGCAACCCAATCAGAAGAGATTCAGATTGATGCTGTAGCCCATATGTCTGTATTAACAATGGTTTCCTCCTTTTATCTGTTGAAGATGATTTGTGGTTTGGGGTAGAGCTTTTAACTCATGGAATGTACATCACCTCTGTTTTATCATGGGAAAGGACATATTAATGCCATTTTACAATGTAGCTCTTTGTGACTTAGGAAAGTAGTAAGGCAGCTTGCAAATCTAAGCACCAGTCAAGCCTATGGCTATGAGGTTATAAGACAAATGCTGGATTTCCTTAGGTGCAATTTAAAAAAATTAGCTGGATACTGTATGCCCTGCCTCAGCATCAGAGTACTCCAGCATGTCCCTTGATAAAAATGTTTGTTACTTCCATTTGAAAGGTCTTGGCTGTTACATCTGTGCAACTCCCTAGATCAAGATCCCAGATCGTGGCCTGAAGAGGGAGGACCAAAAAGAGTTAGCTGAAATCCCTGGCAGAAGGCTGAAAGGAGGATGCTTATGCATCATCTACATGTTTTTGAACCTTTTTCATGCAAAATCTGGAGACCTTCTAGTGTTCTGAGTGGAAAAAAATTCTGAAACTATTCTCCATAGGAATTTTTACTTGTGAAGCTGGTACAATTTTGATGATACCCTAATTGAATCCAGTTCAGTTTCCAGTTTAGTTTCCTTCCTATATCATCCAGTAATCCTGGTGGCCTACTTGGGAATCAAAACCGTCTTTATTCCTGAATATAGCTGTGAGGGCTGTGACCAGAATTTTAAGGGTCCAGGACCCCTGAGTAGCGTGCCAGGGTGACTTATGGAGTTGGTTTGCCCTTCACTTGCACAGCAAGGTTTGAAAGTTTGGGGCAGATTCTTTCAAGTACCTAATTTTGAAATACTGAAATGTTATGCTTGCCATGCTCTGTTTAGTCTCTTTTATAAGTCTAAATCAGTTTCTTGCACTTGGTGTCCAATTTCTGATAGTGACCATTATTAGATGCTGAAAAAGATGCTGTATCTTAAAATGGCAATTTTACAAACTTACCTGCTGCCATTGACCAGGAGTGTGGAGGCTCTGTGTTTTCTGAAAGACTAAGAAAGTGATATTTTGCCTGTAAGTTATAGTAAAAGCAAAGCATCTTGAAGCCTGAACAGCATATAGTAATTTTAAAATTGTCAACAGGATTTCTTCCTCTAAAGCAGAACAGTGTACAATGTTACTTTTATCTTTATTGTGCCATGTTTCTGCTTACAAGGAAAACCCTCTGAAGTTTCCAGGTGTACAAAATACTCTATTTGGGTAGTGATCTGAAACATAAGCAGTTGCTGCATTTTGCTGCTTTCAGTGGTGGGACTAAAGCTGAATTAATGCAGTATAAGTATTTTTTCTGAATACCAAAGTGAATGGATTAGGTCAGTCTTTTACTCCCTTTGTGCTTCCTCTCTAAAGATTTTAGAGATCTGAGTTTGCTGTAGTTGTCTGAAACAATTTTCCAAGGAAACATTTGTAGGACAGAATTTATTACTGTTTGTAGGAGTGTGGAGATAGTTTTTTGTTTGTTGGTTTTTTTATCCTCCTCATGATGTGAATTTTTGCAAATAACAGTCACTGTGGGATTTATCTAACCACTTGCTACTAAGGAGCAGAGTTTCAATGTCTGATGGAGCATTTTAGGCATACAGAGAATTGTTTACAATCAATCAGTGGGGAACATGGCTGGAATAAATTTAAATAGTGAACAGAGTTCTGAAAACCATTATGTGAAAAGGACTTCAGCAAAATCTATTTATTCAAAATTTCAGTTTCATAAAAACCAAAAATGTGTTTGCAAAAAAAAGACTTGAAAGTGATAAAACTGTAATCATTTTGTGGTCTGGCAGCATTTTTTAGTATAGGCAGTTTTACCTTTTGTGGTGGCTTCTGTGATTTTTTTTCACTGCAATAAGATTCTATTTTTACTTGCGAGAATGCTGCTTTTCTTCCTTATTTCAAAGCATAAAATGGAAATCTGCAAGTTATTTTGGTTTAATCAGGCAGATGTAGTGATCCCTTTTTGCTTATTTTATTCTTGAGATATAATTTACTGTAACTGGTAACATGGAAACTCAAGCTTTAATAACTCAGTTCTGCTTCTTCAGCTGCTCCAGTCTGGGATTCAGCATGTCTGATTGAGGATGGGACCACAAAGAATGGAGTCTGTATATTCCTGTTGTGGACAGGGACTGGTCCAGTAACCATCTGGACCTAGAGAGAGAATTACAGAGAATTAGATAATCAATTCTTTCACGTGCTGCTAGAGGATCTGCAGCAGCTGAGCAGGTGTTGCTGTGCTGGAGCCTGGGTTTTGGTGATACAAGATAGGCGGGCAGAGAGCAGAGACCAACCCTTCCACCCCCCTGCCTTTTTTACTTACAGCCAGACCGTATGGGAAGCAGGGCAGAAGCATCTTAGAAGGAATGGGTACCACAGGATGTATTAAGGGAGGAAAGAGATATTGTAGGGGAATGGAATGGAGTGGAATAGAACAGAACACTTCAGTTGGAAGGGAGCTACAATGATCATTTAATCCAACTGTCTGACTACTTCAGGCCTGACCAGAAACTAGAACCTGTTCACTAAGGACATTGTCCAAATCCCTCTTAAACACACTGATAACTCTGGCACCTCCCTAGAAACCTTCATGGGTGTTTGATCTGCCTGTTCATAAGGAAATGATTCCTGAAATCCAATGTAAATGTCCTCTGGTGAAGCTTTGAACCACTGCCATGTGTCCTGTCACTGGATACCAGAGAGAAAAGATTCAATGAGTAAAGATCCCCTCCTCAGGAAGCTGTAGAGCAATGAGGTTGCCCTGAGGCCTTCTTTTCTCCAAACTAGAGAACCCTCAAGTCCTTAGCTGCTCCTCACAGGTCATTCCTTCCAGCCCTCTCACCAGCTTTGTTGCTCTTATATGGACCCATTCAAGGACCTTCACATCCTTCCTTAAATTGTGGTGCCCAGAATTGCACACAATGCTCCAGGTGAGGCTGCACCAGTGGGATAGTCACCTTTCTTGAGCAGCTGGTGGTTCTGTATTTGGTGCACCCCAGGATGGGGTTTGTCCTGTTGGCTTCCAGGCCATGCTTCTGATTCTTGCTGTGCCTGCTGCCACCCAGCACCTCCAGATCCGTTTCTGCAGAGAGGCTCTCCAGCCACTCCTCTCCCAGTTTATACTTTATTAGTCTGTCTCAGCTGCAGAATCTGGTGTTTTGACTTGTTAAACTTTGTGCCATCAATCACTGTCCAGTGTTCCAGTCTGTGTAGATCCCTCTGTAGAGCCTCTTGTCCCTCCAAAGAGTCATTTGCTGATGATCCCACCTCTCAGTTTGGGATCATCAGCAAATGTGCTAATGGTGGATTTAACTCCTGCCTGCAGGTTGTTGGTAAATGTATTTACTAGAACTGGCCCTAGAATTGATCCCTGGGGAACACCACTGGTGACCAGTGGTCCCCTTTGAGCTGTTCCCTTCGGCCAGTTCTTCACCCAGCATAGCCTGAAGGATGCTGTGAGGGACAGTATCAAAAGTATTCCTAAAGTACAGAAAAACCACATTCATCACCTTTTCTTCATCTGTTGAGTGGGTGACCTTACCATAGAAAGATAACAAGTTAGTTAAATAGGACTTTCCTTTTGTGAGCCTGTATTCTGTCAATCTCTGAAATAGGAATATTTGATTTCTTAAAATGGACCATTCTTTTATAGACAGTATTAAACTGATGGTAACTAAATTAGAATGTTGTACATTCTAATTTAGAATCTACATTCTCTTTGATTACCATTTCTATTCTTTGCTTTTCTGTTCCTCTACCATTAGTTAGACTTTAAAAAATTTTTATGTTAAATAATTTTGATTTGATTTAAAGGAAAGGTTGCCAAATAGGAAAAATTTTATGCAAGTCAGGTATGCTTTCCATCCAGAATACCAAAATAATGTATACTTGCATAATTTGACTGAAAATGTACAGAAAGCAGTAATCTTCTTACTAATATGTCACTTAGGCAGAAGTTGATGACTTGGTTGCAAAAAAGATTCCTTCAAGTTTCAGCGTGCAGAACTTCTTGTTCAAAGAAACATCATTTATTTTGTGATTTCATATGTAAATAAATAATGAAACATTAATTTTGTTCATCTGTGACTCTGACCTTTTATTTCCTCAGCCATCATGTATGTAATGGGAGCACTTGGACCTGCAGCTGGATACTTATTAGGAGGACTCCTTATTGGTTTCTATGTTGATCCTAGGACAACTGTGTACATTGACCAGAGCGATCCCCGATTCATTGGGAACTGGTAAGGATCAAGCATTTTTCAAAACTATTCTCTCAGCTGCCCATAGGGAATTAAGACAGGTTGGAAGATTTTATCCCTTGAGGATTTGTTTAAAGTTGTAGAAGGAGGCTGAGGAAGATGTTTTTGTTGATTACTACACACTAGCCTCTGACAGAGAGGAAAGGTTTGCCACAGGAGGGCACAGGAACATTGCATGGAAAATCCCCTATGTTTGGCTGTTCAGGACTGTCCCTGACCACAGTGGGCACTGACTGACAGTGCTCATCACAGGGATGGCAGGGCAGGATATTGGTGTTGCACAAGGCCGTGGATGATCTCTGCTGCTCAGAACCAACTCCTTTGCTACTGGAAGTTGGATTAATCTCTTTGGTTTTCCAGAGGAGGCAGCATAAAACACTGAACTCAGCTGCCCAGATGAGAAACACTAGACTTTGCTGATCCTATTCCAGGTGAAGGAGATAGGATGGGGTCAGAACATGGCCGTTCCAGTCTTTCTTTTTGAGGGTGATGGCTTGTGTTTAGGCAGCAGATGCTGTAAACATCACATTATTCTCTAGTAAGGAGTAGGCTTCAGCAGCACTGAGATGTAGCAGCTGTAATTGTTAGCTGATGTCTTCAGGCAGCCTTTGAGATGTGGCCTCCTTGGAAATGTCTTTGAGGAGGCAGGTCTTGAGGAGGCTTTAACTGCCTTTTTTTTAGGTAAATCATAAATCTGCCTTGAAGTTTTCATGCAATCCCAGAAAAAAACCTGAAGTTCATTATCCCAGGAAGAGACCTCTTCTTTGTAGGTGTAAGGTGCAGTGTCAGTTCTCATGCCCTGGGTTAGTGTTTGTCACTGCGCCATTGCAGTCCATCTGTATCTGTTTCTGTTTATTCTGCGGCGATCTTTCCTGACAGTTTGATATGAAAAATTCTTTCTTTGGAGGCTTCTTAATCCTTCAAAGATTTAGTCCTGCTGTATTGGTCTTAGTCCAAGAGCACTGCTGCACTGTTTTGTCAATTTTCAGCAAGAGAAAAGCAAAGCTGAGAGCTGAGTGTGGCCTTGGGGTTAACAGCTCCGTGCTCTGGTTTATCTACTGACTTATCTCACTGAAAGATCTGCTCTGTGAGTGTGCAGCTATGTCAGAATTCAGACTAGTCTAATATAAAAGATTTGGAATCAAAGCAAAATATTGTACATTCTTTGTAAAATTCTTACACTTCATGTGTTTTTAATGACGTGTCAGAACTGGTAATCAGCATCTGATCAGTACTTTTTGGCAGAAATTGCAAACAGGCCCATAAATATATTTGTTAATTGAAATCAGTGGGGCTGTATGAATGTGGGATAAACTTTTGACTTTATCTATAACACAACCACTGATATAACTGAGTTTTAGCTCAAGTATCTTCAGCAAAAGTAAAATAGCCAAAGCAAGAAAGTCAGTAAAAGTCATTCCCAAGTTTCTTTTTTTATCTTGTTGATTAAATCTGTAGGGTCTGGCTTTCCTTGATGGGTATCCAGGTCTTTTTATTTCTATTTCATTTTTGACTATGTCACTTCTTTCTCTTAAATTTCTGAGGAGTATTAACTGCTATCAGGTCTCTGATAATTTGTTGCATAATCTGTGGTGGTATCTCATAAAAGTTTAGTGGCGTTTGTGTCTCATTCTCTTTTCTCTTTCTGAATCTAAGTCTACCCATTAAAAAAACAGCAAGACTCCTATGGTGTGAGGGTTAAACCTTTGTCCCTTGCTACTCATTAGCTGCCTGGTTGCAGAGAATTCTGGAAGTGTAGACTTTCATTTCACTGAAATGTATTTTCTGGGATTGTGACATTTTCTCCTTGGAGGGAAGTGCTGTGTAGTCAAGTTTATTTTTATTTATGCAATCTAACAATTTGAAATGTAAGAGTAGCCCAACACTTACTTTAGCTGACACACTTTAAAAGTATGGTTCAATTGAGATAACTTAATGGGAGGTCATATATGAGATTTCTCATTCTTGTTTCCTTTGAATTGAATTAATGTCTTTGATTCCTATCTTTTCTTTATTATAGCTGTAAGGTTCCTAATGTAACTTATCATGGGACCCAATTTAACAATTTCCATTGTTAGAGGAGGCAGTGCTTGCAGACAAAATAGTGAGAATAGCAACTATGATATATGGCTAAAATAAAAGCAGTATAGCCTGTTTTTTTCCTTAAGCTGCTCCTTTCTAGGAGGTCTAGCAGGACACATAATTTGGTTTATCTCTCGTGCAACATGGTAAAGTAAAATGGTTATTTTTCAGGGTTATGTCTGATCTGATTATTCCTTGAGTTTCACAGGACTTGGATTTCTGCTCCTGGGCTTTGCACACCTGGGGTTTCTGTAGGTGCTCTGGGCTAAATTACAAGCCAGCTGTCTCTGCCAGCCCATCAAATGTTTGAAACTGTTTTTTATTCAAATGTGGTAACTGTAGGGATATCTGTTAGAAATCATTCATCATGTTGTTGTCTTTGAGAACTGTTAATGTGCTGTACAGGGACCTCATTAGTTGTGGAGTAGCCCTTGGCGGTCTGTCAGGTGCTTTGAATGAAATTTTCTTTTGCTGACACTTTTCTGAGTGTTTTCCTAGTTCAAAATCTGTTTGATACTTGGGTCTTCCTATATAGTCTTTTATCAACATTCCACACAAGAAGTTTAAAGGAATTCCTTCAGCATTGTCTGGTCCTTCCTTAGCTTTAATTGCTTTATTTGAGGTCCTAGGGCTTGTGCGGATGCCTTTGAGGTATTCTTCTGCATATTTTCTTTGACTTCAGAAGACAGAAAATCAAGGGTTTTTAAAATTAATTAAATTAATTAAATAAATTAGGCTCCTGTTCTGACCTCTCAATTTCCCATTGTAGGTGTCCTTATTATTTTTGGTCTTTTGTCTGTTTTCCAATTCTTTGATATTTCTTCAGGAAGTTGTGAAGTGTAGATGGTGAGATAATTGCATCCAGTGCTGCATTTGTGACATCTCCAGCATTTGGAATGCTGTTATAACAGTCCCTTTGGATTTGAATTTCATCTTGTACTATATTACAGGCCCTGTCTCCTTTGCTGTTTCCTCCTGAGTGGGTGGTTGCAGATTTCTGCATATTATTGCCACAGATTGTTTCTTTGATCAGTGCCTTTGCAGCTTCTGCCTTTGAGATCCTGAAAGGGATGTTGCTACATTTTTATACAGACTACGGATTTATTTCGTCTGACAGTGCTGACTAATCCTCCTAAAAGTCTGCTTTCTAATCCATGTATGTTATCAGCTAAAATGAATGGAGGATTTTCTGTTTACATAATATCAAAATTAGTCAAAACTTTCAGTCACTTATATTTGCCTTGCAAAAGCTTCCTGTAAGCTTCTAATGAAAATAGTGTTACACATGGCTGTTTATTTGTTGTTTGCTTGTGTGTAATCATTTACCATGCAAAGCATTGCATATGAATTTTTCTTCACTGAAAAATAAAGTTTGCAATATCTTTGCATTACAAATATGAGGCCAAATGCTTTTTGTTTCTTGTGCAAGAAATCCTGTCTACTCAGAATTTAAAGTGTTTTAAAATTTGAACAAATATATATTTAATAGTATAAAGGTAGTACAAAAATATGTAAAAGTTGTTCTTGTACTGGGTTTGCACAGCAAGGTTTTGGTCACAGGAGGGTTACAGGGGTGGCTTCTGTGAGAAGCTGCTGGAAACTTCACTTCTGCCTGAGAGAGGCAATGTCAGCTGGCTCCAAGAGGAGGCTGGCCAAGGTTTACACCATCAGTGGTGGTGGTAGCACCTTTGGGGTAACAGATTTAAGAAGGGGGAGACAAAAAGACATGTGCAACACTGGCAGCAATCACAAGAGAGTGGAATGAGAATATGTGGTAGAAACAGCTCTGCAGACCCCAATGTCACTGAAGAAGGAGGAGGAGGTGGTGATGCTCTGGGTGCCAGAGCAGAGATTCCCCTGCAGCTAATGGGAGCCCTTCATTACATGTTCTCTCCCCTGTCCTGCTGAGGATGGGGAGTGATGAGAATGGCTTTGGTGGGCACCTGGCATCCAGCCAGGGTCAACTCATTGCTGTGGTTGGATATTATAGTAACGTGATTGACTTCCCTGGAATTTCCAAATACCAGCGTAGATTCGTGTGGTGGGTTGGCTTTGGCTGGCTGCCAGGTGCCCACCAAGCTGCCTCACTCCCCTTCCTCAGCAGAACAGAGGGAAAGCACAATGGAAAGCTCATAGATCGAGATAAGGACAGGGAAAACCCCCACTAATTGCTATCATGGGCCAAGTAGACTTGATGTGGGGAAATTAATTTATCACCAATTAATAACAGGGTAGGATAGAAAGAATTAAAAAGAAACCTACAAGCACTTCAGACCTACTCCTTCCCTCTCCCAAAGCTCAGCTTCACTCCTGACTCTTCTACATCCTCCACTGGAGTGATGCAGTGGGCTGTGGAAAAGGGATTGTGGTCAGTTTAGTGACACCTTGTCTCTTTTGCTCCTTCTCAGCTTCAGACAGTCTTTTATTAACTGGTCCAGCACAGGTCCTTTCTGTGGGGTGCAGTCCTCCAGGAACAGAATGATCCAGCCTGCAGCATCCCCTGTGGGTGACATGACCTGCCTGAAAACCTGCTCCTGTGGGAGCTCTACTCCACAGGCCACAATTCCTGCTTGAACCTGCTCCAGTGTGGATTCCCCACAGTCTGGAGGTGGATACCATGGTCTTGTCCTGCAGGTGAATCTCTGCACTTGGAGCTCCTTCTCCCCTTCTTCTCTCACCTTGGGTCTGCAGGGCTGTTTCACTTCACACAGTTGCTGTGCAGTGTTTTTTTCACTTTCTTAAGTAAGTGAACACCAAGGTGCCACACCAAGGTGCCACAAGCATTCTGATAGGCTCAGCATTGGGTAGTGGTGGATCTGTTTTTAAACTGGCTGGAGCTGTCTCTGTCCAGCATGGGACAGCTCATGGCATCTTCTCACAGAAGCACCCCTGCAGTCCCCACCCTGCTACCAAAACCTTGCCATGTAAACCTGGTACAATGAGATGAGTCTGTAGTGAAAACTGCACTTCCAGTATGTAAGAAGAAGTTTGTGGGTGGATTCTGAGGTTGCCCTTCTTCATGGAACCATCTATGTGAGGTTATGTTTCCCTTAGTCTTTCACTGTTAGAGGAGAAATGATGTTATCTGACACTCTGCTATCAGTGTTCTGGCTGCTGACTCGAATTAACTCTACAGAACTTTCTCGTGCAGCCCTTTTGCCCATCTGTGGTGCTGGGGTGAAGTCCATGAAGCTTTTTGGCTGCAGGGAGGACAAGTGTTTGCAGCTGAAGGGCTCTGCTCTGTATCCCACACATTGTCCCTTCTGTGGGTATGTCCCAGGTCATTCCCTGAGAGCCAAGGGATCATTTCAGTGTTGTATTTATATCCCGTATTTAAAAGACAGAGGGAGAGAAGATGAAATTCTTTGTGAAGGCTATTTCAGGTTGCAGTCACAGAACAGAGTTTTGGGCATAAACCCTGGAATGAATTGTAGCACATCAGTTGTGACATTCAGGCTTTGGGAACTCTTCAGTTGTGAATGGAGAGAATTGGACAGTCAGGACAGGGAGAGGTGGGCACTGGAAAACAGAACAGATTTAGCCCTGATGTATTTATCAGGACATTTTATCTCCTCATGACATGGATAGCTTTTTCTGTGTTCTCCAGAGAAATACTATATTGCTCTACTGGGAATTATCTGTGAAAGGCTAAGTCAAAGTGAATATCTAATTCTCAGCACTTGGTACTGAAAAATTACCAAAACTGAAAATTTGTGGTAACTTAAAGCTGACATTACTTAATAAAATTTGGTGGGTTCTGGATAAATACCTTTCAGTAAATAAGCCAACAGAAACATCTTCTGATTAAGGAATTTAGTGCACTCCAATTCTTTACTCTTAGTGTCAGTTTTTCATATTTTGCAAGTGTGTCTTTCTAGGCAGTGCAGCTTCTAACAGTAGCTTTGATTTTTTTGTTTCATGTAATGTGTTTGCTTTTGTTTCCATTCCTGTTTTCCTGGCATTAGGTGGAGTGGATTTCTCCTTTGTGCCATTGCTATGCTCCTTGTGATATTTCCCATGTTTACCTTTCCGAAAAAGCTCCCTCCTCGACATAAAAAAAAGAAAAAGAAGATGAATTCTGATGATGTTTCAGGTGATGATGACGTGATGAAAGAGAAAACAAGTAGCAAAACAGAAACAGACAGTTCAGTTTCTGCCTCTATGGGATTTGGAGAGAATGTTAAAGGTAAAGTTTGTTTTTAATTTATAAATGCTTTAGATTTGGTGTGCAGGGTCATCCAGGATTGTATGGTGTAATTGAAGGCAGTTTTGACATCCTATGTTTGCTATTATGTTTTGCTATTGAGATTTTAATAGATGCTCATCCTCTAAAATGACAGGGTGCAGCAATGATTGTAAGACATTCTTTTCCTTGAATTGTCAGTGTTTGTGTTCCTGTAACAACAGGTAGGCTATTTCCTATAGTTACAGGACTCCTACCACATGTATTTATGCATCTTAGAGTTTGCAATCGTCACACCTGCTTTATAAGCTGAATTTCTTGGAATAACATGCTCTTCCACAGTGTAAGTGAAACAAGTAGAAGGAATTCTGGTATGTGAGTTCAAATACATTATTGTATTTGGGTGAGTTCATAGAGAAAGATGATTTGTTTCATTTTCCTTTCCTGTCTGTTTTGTACTGCAAATTGTTTTCTGAAGGCTAAGACAAATAAAACCTGTGCTAATTTTGAAACGTGAAGAGATCAAAAGATTAACAAGTAATAGAGATTTTTATTTTATTCAAGGAGTAACCATTACTGTAAAATGTAACAGTAAGTAATAATCATTGATAAGTTGCCTGGGGAAGAAGGGCAGTGTTGCTACAAATTGATTAATGTGAAGCCTATAGAATTCAAATTGACAATACAGACTTAACAGCATCATAAAATTGAATAGTGTATGACAGGAGTGAATGTGCCTCAATGCCATTGTGTTGTTAGTGCTATTGTGTCTTCCTTGCATTCTGTGATGCAAGTCCTGGTTGTGCCATTTCATGGTAGCCTGATAAATGCAGCTGGAACTGGGAGAAACCATCAAATATCTATTGTACCATCAGTCATAATTTGAACTCAAAACTTTTAAGTGTTTGTTGAAATAGACAGTTTTACTCTTTACTTGGATACAAGTCCAGGCTATAATGATTGGCAGACTTTTTAATGAAACATTTATGATCACTTTTATGCTGAGTAGACAAGGCTTAGAAAAACCAGCTGTTTTAGACTAAACCCAATGTAATTTAAAGTTATGTTTGCACACCTACATACTGATTTGCTCTGTATTACATTTACACTGGTTCTCTCAGGGTACTTAAAGTTACTGTTAATTTCTACAGAAGTAAAGAAAAAGAGGATACCAGAAATTCTTGGTGTGATTTTATTAGCTTACAAATCAGCTTCTTAAGGTACAAGGCAAGCAAAGAGCAAGCAAAGTGAACCTCAAATATCAGATCTTTCAGACCATGTTCTCCCTTTGTTGGCAAAGTGGTTGAAAATGTGATGGAGAAGCAAAAAAACACACTCCTTCCTCCTTTAAAGACTCTAGTCTCCATATTTGTGAGTCTGTTTTCTCCTCAATCCACACAACTAGTTGTGGTGTTTATTTGCCTTCAAACCTACTGGCCTCTGATCAGTGGAAGTAGTTCAGGGTTAGTCCTGTCAAGATTTTCTCGGTAGCACAGGGAACTGGGGGAGTCTGGTCTTTGCTGGACTCCTTCCTAATGACTGCAGACAGTGTCACAGCAGAGACACTGCTTCACCCTTGGGTGCACCTGGTGAAATGCAGTGTACAGATGAACTGCAGCTGGCTGGGTTTGCTGATGCAGGTTCTCTGATACACAGTTTCACCTTCCAGGCCAGGTAGTCTCTACAGGTACAGCAAGTAGAGAAAAAAACAAGTATTTGCTTGGGAGAATGTTTTCTAGGACTGTTTTTTACACAAATGAAAACTTTTGTATGTCTCATTTTGGCATGTGTTTCTTTGGTATGTATCTGCCTCGATGTATAACATACATTCTATAAAATTCTATACGAATGTATTAATGGAGCTACCAAATTAGAACTTTTACTACACAAAACTTTTAGTTTTCTTTAGAGGAGAAACTTCACCATGTGGAACAGTGAAAAGAAACATGCCAGAAAGATAGCAAGCTAGTTGAGATAAGCAGAAAAAGTATTTTTCTATAAGCTGATAATAGCTTTCCCATTCAGTGTCAGTTACTCTAGCAAAGAAGGCCTGCAGCAGGAATGCGCTATCATTTAATTATTTTTCCAGTTTAAGTGGGCTTTATGGAATAAGATCATGCCTCAAGCTTCTCAGCTGAGGTAATTTTGTTTATAATGGGAAGGAAAAAAGGATCATATGTGTCTTAAGTCATTTAGCATGGCTTCTTCTGAGATGCAGTGAACATTTTATACTTTCCATTTAATTTCAGAGCTTCATCTTTTTATAGCACTGTGGGCAGAAACTCCACTTAGGCAGTAGCCAGGAGACTGTTGATTTAGTGGGTCATATCTTCTGTTCTATACTAATAAATATCAATGATGTCATAGTCTGCCATGACAGAGGTCAGTGCCATCAAATCTCTGAAATGCAGCTTTGGTAAGGAAAGTAACTGTTTTCTTCTTCCAGTATGATCTCATCTTACCTGGGAAGCCTGGCAAAGTGATTTTTCTCGTGCTCTAACTTGTCCTAATTTCATAATTAATTCTCTAGGTGAATGAAAAGGTATAAAAAAGTCATAAGAGTACTTTTTTCTGCATTGACTGCCAGTATAAGCTGAAGAAATAAACCAAAAACTGGCTCCATCTGCTAGTAGCCTCAAACTTCAGTGACCTGAGCTTTATTTTGGCCCATGGTGGAGCTGAAATCAGATAAAAATACAGATACAACTTTGCTTTTTCACTTGTTTCAAGTTGCAAGGGCTTGGAATTCAGTCTTTTCTTACTTACGTTTCAAGTAGAAAATGTGAGCTGAAGAATGCTTCTGAGTCAGGTATCAAAAGTACTAAATAAAAGAGTAAGTAGGTCACAGGAGGAAGAAAATTGGATGTAGTTTATTGGGAAAAATAGAGGTAGTGTAGATTACATGAGCTAGAGAAGTTTTATAATGAATAAATCACAGTTCAATCCCATATGTAGAGATAACACATGAATCTGAGCAGACAAAACTACTGTTTTCATTTAATACCTAGATTCCCTTAGGGTTTTGTACCATGGAAATTGTATCTGCAGTCCCTTTCACTTACCACTATAATGAAACTTACTGTGCAATTGAATAAAGGAGCAGTGTAAAGAAAGCAAATGTATATATTACTTATAAAAAACTGATCTAATTTGAATCAAATAATTAATCTAATGAATTACATATATTTTGTAGCCTTTGGAGTTTTTTTGTTTTGTTCCTATGTACAGCCCTTTCTTAAATATAGAGTATTCCTGTCTGGCGTGTCACATCTACCAGCTGTCCTGTGCCTTTCTTGGTGAGTTCCTGTGAGGGGCAGAGACAGAATAATAATGATTGTCAGGGCATCAGCAGAGAAAAAGAAATTCCTGAGGGGCTTGTGGTTGCAGGATAAGCCCACTGAAGTGCTTTGCCAAGGAACTGGATTGGAGTTTCTGTGCTAGCTGAAGATCAGTTGCCAGGCATCAGAAGGGAGGAGGAGACAGTGGGCTGTGTGTGGGGGTACTTGGTGGGCACTGTGAATGTCAGAGGGTTCAGCAGACCATGGGCTGGAGATCCTGCAGTGCCACTGACCTTGAGCAAGGCAGTTCCCTCTTGTCCTTTCTTAGGCTGTCCTGAAGAGCTCAAAATAGAAAAGATTGGCATAGCTCCATGCAGTGATGAGCAGTGCTAACTGGAGCCTTGAGGACCTGCTCTAAATCAAATTAAAACAAGTAATAATCATATCAAACTGGCCCTGAAGCCCTCCTCTCTTGATGGGATATTAGGGGCTGTTCAATGATCCAGCCACCACCCAGGTGCTTAGTGCCTGTCCTGAGAGTTGAATGAGGTTGTTTAAATGGTGTGGGAGTAGATAACGAAATGGCAAAATACTGTTCTGGAGATTAGTGATTAGCTCCATGCAGGATATATTTGATGTAGTTGTGTGTCACTTTGCTGGTTTCCATTCTGATAAACAAACCAGAGATTCTGTCTCAAGTCTTGGCTCTGCTTTGTACCGCACAAGAGTGGAAGCTGCCCCTGAGGCCCTGGTGTGGAGCCAGCCCTCTCCAGAGCTGCAGGCTTGGGTCGTGTGTCCAGACTGGGAGCACTAGCAGAAGGGAGGTCTTCTGGCTAATATCTGCCTCACCCTTTGTCCTGGTTTAGGGCAAATTTGGGAGAAAACCTCCAAAAGGGTGCCCCTCCAGAAAGCAAACCCACATGGTCTCTCCCCCCAACCGGTTCAGGAAGGATTCCTTGGAGAGAAGTGGAAAGAACCTGTTTATTTAACAGGCAAAACACCCCCCAGCACACAAAATGAACAATACTGGATGACACCACTCTTGCACCACTCTGAAAATGATGACAAATTCAGAAAGTCTCTCTTGGGAGTCATTGCTCTGTTATTGGTCCCTCTGGTGCTAGGAATGGCTGCTGCAGTCCACAAGGTATAAACTCTTGGTGTTTCCCAGGTCCCAGTCCGGAGCAGGCTCGAGTAGATCCAAAAAAAGGGAAAGGAGAAACAGTCCAGGAAAAATTTGGACTGCTTAGCTAAACTAACTGATGAGCAGAAGCAAAAAGCAAGAGCAAAGCAGGAGCAAAGCAGAAGCAAGAGCGAGAGCAAAGCGAAAAGCCAAGCAAAAAGCAAAGGCCACACTATGTACTGCCCTGTCTGTGTGTCCTGCCAGCCGCGGGGGAGTGGCTGATAAGAAACCAAAACAAAACTTTCACTCTTCAGAGCCAGTCTTGAAGGCACAGAACATCATATCCAGCATAAACAGAGCACACGAATGGGGATACAAGCATCATAATATCACCCTAGGAACCCTTACAGGATACTTTCCTGATGGCCTGCAGAAGGATAGTGCTGTAGACTGGAATGATTTATTCACCTGATTGTATTCATTGCATTGCCCTGGGCTGGGTATGCAGGAACAGGGATAAAAGAAACTATATTAAATGTTGAAAAAGGAGGTGAAGTCAGAATTATTTGAGTTTTATTGAAATTCTGTTTACAGTGCTTTGCTTAGAGAAATATTTATGAATACTTGTATTACTTGCAGATTTTTCTTGCTTTTCCCCTACCATGAATCAAGTAATGGTCCAGCACATGACTGGGAAAAAAAAATGAATACTGACCAGAGAAAAAATACTGTCAAAGATCATGAAAGGAAGAAAATTGCCAGTAGTCTAGCAAACCAGTCCAGCAAGGCAGGTTTCAATTTACTCTTAGTAATGCACTAGGTTATTGGGGGAAAAAGAAAAAAAAGATCAGATGTTAAAATTTGAGTTAATTCACAGAAATATAAACATGTTTGCAGCTATGCTAAATTCTTTTAGTTCTAGGAGTGTAATTGATAGAGGTTTATTAGTTTAGATGACAGAACGAGAGAAATTGCAATTTCTGTAGTGTGTTTCTGATGCAAATTTGCAAAAACATGCAATGTCTTTTGAGAAGAATGTCCTTCGAAAAAGTCAAACCTGATAGGTTTAATAATCACCTTGAAATCAAAACCTAGGCCTATGGCTAGGTACACAAAAATAATTTGTGACATAGAAATGTTTTAAAAGCATGATTGATTATGTAGTCTAAAGGATCCTTAAAGTTTTTAGCATTCTTGCTTTTTACTATGGTTACTGTGGTTGAAAGATAATGAGTTACTTAACAGTACCTTTTTATTATAGGTTTTAAAATTCAGAAGTGTAGTACAGATGTTGTCACACCAGGTTTGATGATGATCATGGGAGGAAATCAGGGAAAGACTGACTCTGAATGTGTGTTTTTATTTCCAAGTTTCTTACTACATAGCAGCTTTCCTTTGTATGCCAGACAATTGCTGTTTATAAACCATGAAGATCAAGTCTTAAGTGCTCCAGGTGGCGTGCATTAGTGTGGCATGTAGAAATAAACTCTTTATTTCATGCCAAAATTTATAGCAATCAGCAAAGCTGTTCTCTGAAGAGCCCTTCAGATGGGTATAAGGGAACGTGTGCTTATTCCAAGACATTGAGTTTTATCTACTTAACAGGAGAAATCCCATTTCAAAATACTAATTAGTTTTGAAATGAATAATGACCTTTAGCCTGAGTGCTCAGATGAGATGTAAGTAGGAGTCAACAGAAGTACAGCTCTACATACAAGTGCCGGAGCAAAATGTTCATTAGCTCTGCAGTTCTTTGCCAAATTAATTCTCTAGTTGACTGAAAATTCTAAAGCAGACATTTTCCTGAAGCTCAGTTTTATCAGGAAGGGCAAACTTTACCATGTATTATGATGTCTGGATGAGACTTTAAAATAATTGATTTAGCAAAGACCTTGAGTTCAGCTCTCAGCCAAGAACTACCAATTCATTTCTACAAAGAACACTCAGTTCATCATCCTAATAAAATTATCTTTCTCTCTGTGATGATACCTTACTTTCTACCACATTTTAAACCCAGGTGAGCAGCTGCCACTAAGTAGCTCAGTTTCCAGCAAGACCAATCCTTCTTTCTGTTTCCTGACTCCTTTCTCACAGCAGTATCAGCATGGTCATAACTGCTTGCTCCTGTTGTTTCTATTGCAAACAGCACCACCTTCTTTTTTTTTATTTTTTAAACCTGTAGGTGGTAAAAACCATTAAGATTATAATATATGATTGCTTCTTAATATGATTTATTCATTAGTTATTTCCACCAGACTTTGTATTTAACATTTAGTATGTTTCCTCATAGATGAGCAGGAGAGCATTTGACTACATTAAAATTATAAACCAAGTACTCATCATGAATATTATAAACCCAGTACTCATAATGAATTCAGTATAAATTTTGACAACTGGCATAAGCTAATACTGGATGAAGTCAGACAACTTAAGTGCTAATTTGCAGCTTGACAAGTTTTGACATGACAAGTGAAATTCTGTTTGCTTTTATACTGATAACCTACTGGAGTCAGTGCAGAAAGTGAGACAGATTTTTGTCTTGACAACTTTTAACATCAGTAAAATTCTCAGTTGTTCTTGCTCAACATGTATTTCTAATGGGTGCTCTTGTCATTGAATTCTACTGGCTTTCATTCAAGCACTATTCTATTTCTGTACCAAGTGAAAAGCAAATGAAAAAAATCTGAACTGTAGTAGCTTAGATATAACACTTGAAAAAAACTTGATCTGGGGTAAAAAAAGCCTCAAGGAAAAGAAGACTTGTTTAAAATCACGGCATTTAATAAAAAAAAAAGTGCTGAATAGGGTCATGATAATTTGACATCACTGCAGGACTAAATTTAAAGTATGCAAATGTTTAATTTAACTACAGTGCTGAATTTCATGGGGGTTTGATATTTGATTTGAGAATAATTGCAACATCTATGAATACTTTTTCAATTTAAGTTAATGATGTACTCTCATTTTTAATTGATTGCTTTATCCCTTCTGAGAATATTGAGTTGTATGTAATATATGTTGAGATTCCTTGATATTATTGATGCAATTTTTTCATTATGCTTTGTCTGCATCATTGTAAATGCTTTTAAATCATGTAGAAAAATGCTTAACTAAAAATATTTTGGTTCCCCTTTCAAATTGGATTATTATTATTATTACCCCAGCTTTCCAAGCATGGTCCTTGAAGCAGAGAGTAACAGGGGAGTGAGTATAGGCTCTTTTTTCCTCCTATGGAGTGCAAATCTCAGTACTGTCTGTTCAGTAGTGTGGTATATGTTATTTCACAGAAAATCTCAAGATATCAGAATAATTCCAAAATCTCTACATTTTATTGCTGTTTTTCTTTCTGTTGTGGTGTTACTGTCTGTTTTTTCAGATGTTTTTTTGATACACAAGTCAGTTGTGTTTGTGCCAAGTGGGACCATGGCCCTGAGCGAGGCAGTGAGATGGGGTCAGTCAGAGCAGGGAGCAAGGGCTTCAGTCCCAAGTATGCACTCTCCCTTTTGTCTAGCAAATGTACCAGCTGCTAGCAAGCCATTATTGCCAGTCTGTCTCAAAGAAAATCAATTGGTTCTGTTTCAGTTTGCTTTTGTTTCTCACTCATTGTTTATAACATTCGTTTGTCATTTTTGTCATTTTATAGAGCTTCCAAGAGCAGCTGTCAGGATCTTAAGCAACATGACATTCCTTTTTGTGAGTTTGTCATACACAGCTGAGAGTGCCATTGTCACAGCTTTTATTACCTTCATTCCCAAGTTCATCGAGTCACAGTTTGGCATCCCAGCTTCCAATGCCAGCATCTACACTGGTAAGGCATTGCCACATAGTGTTACCTTGCAAGCTTGGCTTTGGCTAATGAAATGAGTCAATTAGGAATGAACCAAAATGTGTTCGTTCAAACAGGTGATTGGATCCAGCTTTCTGCATTTGGTTAGATAATCAGACTATTTTCTGGTGTTTGTTATATGTATTTAGTAAGATGTGAACCCATTTATATTGTTAAGGGGCTGGATTTAATTTTTTTTTTTTTGCATAGGCCTAGACAGATGCTTTCTCATTTGTTGATGGTCTCCAAGGGGGGAAAAATCAATCAAAACAAGCTAGAAAAACCATAGACGTGATTGCAATTTGTGTGCTTTAAAAGGTCTCTTAACACTGTTCTTACTTTCTGTGAATTTTACTTCCTCTTTGATCTTTAAAATACCTTTATCTTTTTTCCCCTTAGTGAAAAGTTGTTTATCTGTCCCATCCTTCAGTTATCTCTCTCCTCCAGGGTGGTGTTTTTCTCCTTATTTACTTATTTACATTGAGACAACAATCTAGTCTAGTCAGAACTCCCCAGATTCTGTTCTCCTACCTGTCATTTCAGGAGACCCCTGCTGTACCAGTGTACAGCTATGTCCAACTTTTAACAGAGCTACAGACCACAAAATCTTAAGCTTCACACTCCTCTGTGACTGAAAGCATGAGAACTTGGCTACTTAAGGAGGCCAGAATATTGTCCAGAATTGGGGCCTGTGTCATGAGGATGTTTCCTTCTCTTCTAGCTGTGTCAAAGACATTTGTCTTTGTAATAATCTTTTAAAATTCTCCATAGTGCTTCTCATACAGAATAACTGCTGATTGCTGGGCAGGTTAGTTCTTTTTTCCCCTCATACTTCCAGACACTGTGCCCTAGGAATGATGGAGTGGAGTGAATTGTGGGGACACAGGTGAAGTATGGGGTGAAGCTGCCCAGGGGTATCTGTCAAAAAAAGGACAAAAAGTAGCAGAAGGAAGAAGGAAGGCACATGGACCTCACATGGAAAGAATTTGTCACTTGCAGTGGCTGGAAGAAATGCAAGGAATTTCTAGAGTGGGGAGGGGAAAAGTCGGAGAAGCACCATGAGGTGTTTTTTTATTTGAGAGTTTCTGGGATGAGATTTTCTTCAGGGCATGAAATCCCTGTGTTCTGCATATAAGGAGGAAACATTGACTCATGGGACTGTGTGCTCTCTGAAGCTTAGAGAAGCTACACACAAAGGAGTTTTACTGTAATGAGTCTTGATGGGATGGCTGCACCATAACTTACTTCATTCCCAAGATAAACCAGAAACATTCTTGCCAGAAAAAATACTCAACAGCCAGTACATTAACAGAGGTAAAACTAGTGTGGCCTTGCCTAAAGTGTGAAGTTATTAACATCTGTTGTTTCCCCTGTTATAAATTTCTTGATAAAGAGTATTAAAATGAACCAGAAGAAGAATAATTTTAAATATATCAGGCTGAATGTGCAACAAGGACAAGTGAGCACTGCTTCTACAATCCCAACCCTTAAACTTAGCATTGAAGTCAGCAGTTGTTAATTTTATAAATATTTTTTGTAGGAAGGATGGGAAAGGGAAACTTGGAAATTCTGTATTAGATTGCTACTGGCTAATAAAGTAAAAGACATGACAAGTTCACAAATTTTCTGGTTAGTAAAAGGAGAATTTACGTGTTATTTATATTGTACATCTATGCTTAATATGCACATTGCCAGCTGAGTACATGTGCTTCCTGAATCTCTTCATGTAAAGATTTTGCTGGCAATTTTTTGTCTTCTAAGCAGCAATTCTTTAATTAAGTTCCAATTTCTTTCAGTTTTAAAACAACCCTGGCATTTATCATCATCAAAAAACACTATGTGACAAATTTCATGTCTTGAACTTGTGCAGCTTCTACATTTAATTTCTGCTCTTGGAAGAAAGACTGGTTTTGATTCTGTGAAGACTTACTGTTTAGAATCTTCCTCCTGAAGTGATATTTTATTCTGTAATGTCATTGGTGATAGCAGGATAATTAAGATGCCAGCTGTTCTTCCCTCTTTTCTTGCTTTCACAATCTCAACATTTTGATAATATAATGTCCCTTTCACCTTTGGACATATTAGCAGAGAATGAGTATGCTTTGCAATAATTGTAAAGGTATTGGAAGTGATGGTCTTACTGGCTTCTTTAAGAGACCAGCATCTCTAACAATTTGCATTATAAAGTTTAGCATCTCTGTAGATGCATCTGCCAAGTAGTAGTTCAAATTCCATGTCTATGTGGAATGCATCTTTATTGGCAAAGCCTTTAATTAAAGACCTTCTCACATGTCAGTGAGACAAGGAAAGAACAGTGCAAGACATTTGCTGACTTTACCACCACCTCAGGACCTGACAAGTGGGGACAACCTGGTGATATTGTTGCTGAACCTTATGACTGCAGCAGCAGAGCTTTCATAGGCAGGTCTTTGTGTCTTACACTTACCCTAATTCTATTATCTTAATTTTTTAAATTGTGTTTGATCACACACACATATCTGTGGGGAGATTAATTAGGAATGCTGAGGTAGGAGTTGTGGAGTCATAGACTCAGGGTTGGAAAAGACCTTCAAGGTCATCAAGTCCAAGCTTTGACCAAACACCACCACATCAATAAACACCAAGTGCCACTTCTGGTCATTTCTTGAGCACCTCCAGGGATGGTGACTCCACCACCCCCCTGAGCAGCCTATGCCAGTGGTTAACCACTCTTTCTAATGTTCAACCTGAACCTCCCCTTGCCCAGTTTGAGGCCATTTCCTCTTGTCCTGATCCAAGTTGCTTGGGAAAGTGCTATTCAGCTTGAGTAAAGTATGCAGAAGGCAGAATTTGCAGCCAGGCATGGGTGTGCACTTCCAGGTGGGCAGGGTTCTGGGGTCCTGCTTGAGGTTAGCACTTGTGCTTTGCTGGAATTAATCAGGAGAATGGGAGGAGGAAGATTTGTGTCCAAATCTGGATTTCTTCCAATTTCAGTGGTTAAACTGGACCTATATGTAGCCCTTCTCCCCATTCTAAAATAAATACAAAACAATGTTTCTGCTTGTAAATACAATAGTTCTCTTATAGTGCTTTGGCAACTGCTAATATGATAAGGAGGCTTTTATAAATTCTTTGACAACACTCCAGAGGTTTGAAAAGTCTGACTCAGTTTGCTAGCAGAGAATCAGACAATGGAGATCTTAGTGCAGCTTTTGCAGTCATCTAATTGTGGAATGATACCAATATTTATGTTTTATGCCATTTCTGTAGGTCCTGTTTTAATGCTGTTTGAACTTCTTCTTGGCAGGTGTGATTATTGTCCCAAGTGCTGGTGTTGGTATTGTCCTAGGTGGCTACATTATAAAAAAGCTGAAACTTGGTGCAAGAGAGTCTGCAAAGTTGGCTATGATCTGCAGTGGTGTGTCTCTGCTGTGCTTTTCAACACTCTTCATTGTTGGATGTGAAAGCATTAATCTAGGGGGAATAAATATACCTTACACAACTGGGTAAGTATCTTGGATGATTATCTCTGGCAAAACCAGCTTTTTCCAATAAGACTGATCTAGAAATGTAAAAAATGCTGATAGCTGATGTACTGAAGAAGCCATTTCAGTTCAAATGAGAATTTAGTGAATTTTGTGATATAAGCACATGCTGTTAGTGTGTGGGTCTTGTTTTTTACATCTGGTTTATAATGCAGTTTATGTAGTAACTTAACTTCTTGAGGGGTGAGAAAATGCATTGGAATGGCCTTCAGTGATGCAGAAAAATAAGAATAGTGTCCTCTGTAGATTACTTAGAATTTACTTAGTGTTTCAAAATGTTTTCTGCTCATGAAAAATTGTGAAAAAACTAAGTGGATTGTGAAGATCATTTCTGAATGGGTTTATTAATTATCACCTTAATAGTATTTTAGGTTTACAGTCCTTTTTGAGAGGAATCACTTGGGCATGTGCTATTGACATTAGGGGTGTGCACTGGTTCTGAACCCCTTACTAGTTGTGTGAATGCCCTCCAGTGCTTGCTGGATCATCATCAAGACAGCAACTAAACCATGTTCTCTAAAGCTATAGAGAGAATGAAGAGGACTGCAATGAGGAAGAAGGTTTGGATGTAGGAAGGACTTGGGAGTGAGGAATTTGGGCTGTGGCATTAAGAAATGCATGGAAGGGCAAGAAAAAAAGAAAAAGGATATTTGGAGGCAAGGCAGTGTGGTAAAACTTGAGACATTTTCACTGGAATGGGATTCTCTGCTAGCCTGATCACGAGCTTTTATTTTCTTTTTACTTTTTACATGAGATTTTTCTCAAAATTGCATTCTTCATGTAGGTTAAACACAGGAACAGAGTAAGTGTTTGGAGAGTGTGAACCTATCTGAAGCAATGTTTTTTCCCTTTGCTTTTACATCTGAGGCATGTGTGCCTTTTAATTATTACCAGGTGCTGGGTGTCAGATCCATTTGTATATTTGCTTTTAGCGCTCAGCTCTTGGGCTCCTCATATTTTGAAGAGAATGTAGAGTGTGGAGCAGGAAAAGCAATGATGAAATGGAGAAAAAATACAGTGGGGCAGAGGGATAGCAAGTGAAAAACAGAGGTAAAATGGGAAGCAAGGGAGGAAGAAAATAGGCACTGTTTACACAGGGAATGTTTAGCATTGCTTGTTGCTGGGTGTTACTACATTGCTGTCAAACCTTAATGCTAGAGCAAAGAAAACCAGCAGCTGAAAGTCAAGAGCTGATGAAAAGCTGTTACTCCTTTGTATTCCTAAGACCTAGAGTTAAAGCTTGCTGCTGAGGGGCTGTCAGTAGAAGAAAGTGGCATGGTGATATACCCTCATCTGAGCTCAGTGGGCTGAAGAAGGAGAGAAGAGGGATGGGAAGGGGGTGGAATGCTTTGACTGTCCACCTGCTGCTAATGTTTGTGACAGCCTGTGGGTGTAGATGATGAAAATTAATAGGAATGAAAACATAAATTTCAGATAGGAATTGATCTGTGTGGCAAGTCAGAATGTACCTGCCTGACTAAGGAGAAGCCTGTACCTTTGTGTTCGGAAAAGTCCCATTTAATTTAAATCTGTTTCTAAACTGAAGATAAGGTGTACTGGTGTCATGTAACTCATAGCCTTCATGCTGGATTTGTTAGAGTATCTAATGTTTGTTTAGTAAGTAATAACATTTGCAGTAAATACATGGCATCAATTGAAGTAAGCATCAATTCACAGCTCTTGTGCAAATCTGCAGTACATTACTTCCTTCCACATTCATGTAATTGTTCTTATTGAGAAGAGGTGAGAAATAGTAATTGCCAAATTCTCACAACTTATTGATATATATAAACTCTTTGAAATCAGTATAAAAATCATATTGACTGTAATGTCATCAGAAATTTAGTATTACCAGCATGTTACAAAGCGTGATGCAGCTAGATTTTTTTAACACGGAGATAAAGTCCATGTTGATTATCAAAATGATAGTAAAAAGGCAGCACTACACATAAATTAATCTTGAATATCTGATATGTAAGCATTCTCTTAATTCTGATGATCAGTCATTTGATAATTTCAAATCACTTGCTTAGTAGGCAACTCTTTAATTCAGCCATCAAAGTGTTGTTGGCCGTGGAATTAAAAAAGCATGCTTTCATTTTGAATTTAATAAAACACATACTTCATTCTCTGCTTAGACTATAGTGCAGCCTAGGGATGTCAAAGCCAGTTCAAGGGGCAAGACTGGATAGGGAAAGCAGCAGAGCTGCCTGGTTTGGGATAAATGTATTGCATGATGCTCTACCCTAACATGGCTGTGCCGGGTCTGATATCTGACCTGCCTGCACTGGCACCAACCCAGAGATCTCAGATGCATTGGGCAGTGTAGACATACCCTGCAGCATAATTTCTGGACAAATATGTTCATTTCTGCTGTTTGTTTTTTATACATTTAAGCATACAGTTTTTTTCTTTGGTGAACTGAGCCCTGAACCACCAAAAAGGAGAGGGGTGACCTAGGTTTCAGTTAACATAGAAGTTATGTGCATACCAGTACTCAGAAAAGTAGACAGTGACATTTCATAATTCAGTGTGTTTCGTAACTCAGTATTTTTCTAACTGTACCAGCTGCAAAGAAGTGGATGGGACCCAGAGGCATGCACAGATTAGAATATATTAGAAAGGATTTTCTGCTGTTTTATGTTGGGCACAAGCAGTTTTGCTGTTGCTGACGTGTCATCAGCACTTCTGTTCTAAGGAAGATCAAGGGCACCTCTGTATTATACATCTCAGCATTTTGGAACCTTTTACTCCATGCCCCAGCCTTGTTCTGAGGGTGTGTTTGGTGCTTGAATTGCAGTGTAAGGAGCCTTATGTCAAACCACAATGTAGCATCCCTTCTCTAGCTCCATAACAGCATCCAGGTGGGAAGTCCTGAATGAGCGAATGGTCTGGACAAGAGTCCAGATGGCTTTTAAGTATTTCTAAGGAGGGAAGCCCCATAGCCTCCCTGGACAACCTGTGTCACCACCCAGTCACCTTCGCAGTGAAAACTGTTTCCTGGTGTTTGTTGGGAACCTCTTGTGTTTCATTGCCTCTGATCCTGGCACTGGGCACCACTGAAAAGAGCCTGGCTCTATCTCCTTTGCATCCTCCCTTCACACATTTACAGGCATTGATGAAATCCCCCTGAGCCTTTTCCAGGCTGAACAGCCTCAGCTCTCTCAGCTTTTCCTCAGAAGAGAGATGCTCCAGTCCTTTCATCATCTTAGTGGACTTTCACTGGTCTCTCTCTGGTACATCCATGTCTGTCTTTTACTGAGGAGCCCAGAACTGAGCCCAGCACTGCAGGTGTGGCCTCACCAGTACTGAACAAAAGGGAAATAGCAGAGATCAGCTGATTTGGGTTTTTTTCAGACCTGTCTCTTGCATGTATTGTTGTATAAGGCAACTAAAACAGCTCCATGGTGAGCTTACTCATAGTGACAGATTCCTGGATTAGTTCAGTTCCATCTCTCACATTTCTGATATGTAATGAATCAACATAGACTATTTTTGATTGCTTTGTGTTACTTTGGTGCAAGTAAAGTTTAGTTAAAGTGTGCAATTGGCTTAATGAGGTATTTCACATAAAAAATACTTACAGTCTTCCTCTTGTATCAACAGTGTGTGTTTCTGTTATTCTTGTATCTATTTCAGTCCAATCCCTTAACTTGAAAGCAGTGACTAATTGGATCAGAACAATAACAACAAAGAAGGAATCCAGCTAACACAGTGAGAGGGTCCCTTGTTTGACAGCTACACAAAAATTGCATCATTGCTGCAATTCCAGCTGCTTGCCAACAAGGAGACTGCAGATCTCTGCCATCCAGAATGTCCTTCAATACCAAACCAAAAATAGTGCTATCAAATTAAGATAATCCTTTTTATCATATAGTCCAGTATTAAGATTATAGAAACTATGTGGTGAGGTTATCTCCTTCCCTTTGTATTTCCTTGGTCCTGTAGGTTACTACAGTGATATCAATAAAACCATGTGGAAAATCAGTTATCTGTTTAGATGTTACCAAAATATAGTTTGACTTCTTTTTTTTTTAAATCTGCATTTCATTTAAATTGTAACCTTGTGAGAAGGTCCACTTTTTTCACCCAATATATGTTCATTGACTGCCAGTACAGTGATGTTTCTGTCCAAGCCTGAGAATGTGAAATAACAGGTCACAGCTCAAAAAACTCAGGCAATAAATCTCATTTTATATTTTCCCTTTTCTCACTTTACTCCTATATCACCAACCTTCCCTGGAGTAATAGTTGGAGAGAAAAACAGGGCTTAGAAAAAATGCTAGAAACTAGAGTCCTTTGCATTGTTAGACACATCTAATAAAGATCTTCTCTTTATCAGCTTTACTAGTATTGTGTCATGGAGACACAGAACAGTCTCCCTGAGAAATGAACAAAAGCAATTTGGCAGATGGGGTTCTGGATTTTGTCCCAGCACATTTAGCAAACTTGCAGTTGAATCTTATTAATGGAAGGAGCAACATTTTTGTAATTGAAAGAATAGTTCAGGAAGTGCTGTCATTTGGGGTTTCTGTTTGTGTGGCTGATGTCCTTGGCAGCTCAGGTGCAGCAGTATTGCAAGTTGGCAGTATCTGCACTGCTGAAACAAGCAGAGCAGCTCTTTCTCAGATATCCCATGTTTCTACAGCAGCTGCTGCATTGAGACTAGGCAGCTTTTCCCACAGATCAGCTCATGAGCAGGACATACTGGCTTCGGTGCAATTTCCCTAAGAACCTGCTCTTAATGGCTGATGCAGGTAAATCTGTGATGTGCTATGCTGTAATTCAGGGATAAATGCTTTGTTTTCCTTTGTGGAGTGTAGGCAGCCTTGCAGGGCCAGAAGGCAGGATTAGTAGAGTGCTTTGGTTCAGCTTACTTCCAAAAAAATGCATGCCTGCAAGAAAAAGTGATTCCTTGCTGAAAGAAGCGTTCAAGCAATCTGTTGTAGGATGTGCTGTGTGGTTGATCCCATATGATGAAAATGGGGTTACACAGACACATGTTAGTAGAGATTTCATGTCCCCAGCACTGAAACTCCTTCATTTGTTTCCCACCACTGAAAGAGGAGTGAACAATGAGTGAAGAGTGAAGGTAATGAAGATGAAAGCATGAGCCTCTTACAACTCTCTGATAATGAACTTTTGGGAATGCAGTTAATAGATGATTTTGTGTGCAAACCTCTCTGCGAGGTATTTGCTCTAAGCAACAAAAAGAAATTCCACAAATAAGCCTTACAGTGATATGCTGAGGACAAAAGGTGGTGAAAGCTGGAGAGACAGAGCTTGCAGTAACTTCTTATTAATATGAGCATATTTGTTTTGTGTATCTGTAAACTGAAGTCGTCTTCAGGACAAACAAAAAAATGCGCCTGAGATTAAATTATCACAGTGGTCTCAGTTCAGTTTCCAGTTTCATGCTTCTCATTTCTTGCATGCCTGATTTCTTTCACCATTTTTTTTTTTTAAACTGATTTCCTAACCTCTGTGTCATGGTAATGTTCAACAGTGCAGCTGAAGCTTACATAGCTGAAGTTAGCTATGCAAGCAGAGCAAGATGGGGAATGGGTTCTCCTGCCTGTGGAACAGCCCTACCCATCTGTTCCAGAGAAGGGTTTTAGTTGGTAGAGGGATAAGAGATCAGAAGAACTTGTGCTGCAGGGTGAGAGAGGTTGGAGATTGGAGCAAGAGCTGTGCCTTTCCTGGCAGTCTGGGCTTTCCCTGGTCCTGTGCAGTGTGGCAAAGCCCTGTTCTCAAAAGAAGCATGGTACAAGGGTCTCCCAGGCAGGTTGTGGAGTCTCTTCTTAAGCCAAGTATTCAGGCATCTGGGGCATCCAGCTCAGCAGGCTGACTAAGATTTTGTAAAACTCCAAAAATGCTGCCTCTTCTGTTGGAGTGAAAAGCTTTTGTCACTGTGCTGCTGAAATTTGTATGTTCCCAAGGAATGTTTGGATGATTTGGTGTTTTTTTCCATTGGAGAAAAAGTTCTGTTGAGACATTACTGGAAAAATCTGCCCATTGCTATATGATGTGTTGCTGCATACTGCTTACTGAAATCCAGCAGGATATAATATGACAAATTTCAGCTGATAGCTGAGAAGGTGACAGAACCACTACCAGTCCTGGATATTTGACTTCCTGCTCAAGCTGCAACTTGTTTCTAAAAGTGTACCTTGTTTGTTTATAGAGCAAGAAACAAAACACTCAGAAAGGCTTTGGTTAGCATCCAGCTAGACCATAAAGTGTAAAGTAGCTCCAAGAGCTAAATTTGTGAACCTGATTTGTGTGATCAGTAGACAAGTCAATAAATATTTGAAAGCTACATAGTAATATTTAATTGTCTGCAGAAGTGCACAGCTGGGAAGACAAGCATATTCAGCAAAAGCAAATAGTGGTGTATAAATACAAGAAAACCAGTCAGGTGGAATACTCTGAGCACAGTCATGCTACTGAGTGCCACTAATGACAGGAGGTGAGGTGACACACAGCATGGGGTGACAGCCACTGTGTGCAGAATGGCTCCTGAGCCAAGCCTCTGGTCTAGTCAGGGGTAGAAGATGGGAACAGAAGAACATTCCCTGTGGTCCCTGGGGTAGCTGGGATGCAGTAAGTCAGCTGCTAGTTGTTTATCTTCACGCTGGCCTTGCCCGTGCATCACAGACATGAGGACAAGCCAACATCAGCCCTTGTGAGGGCAGCCATGGCAGTCTGTGAGCATGTGTACAAGATCTTGAGGATGCAGCCACAAACCCAGTCCAGATTCCGTTCAGCTCCTGCCTGGCTGAGGAGGAAATTCCCTGGATATCTACTGATCTGCTCAAGAGCAGAGGCACTTGAGGTAGTTTTAAACAGCACTGGCCATTGTGCAGTTCTGAGAGAAAGACAGAACAAACAAGACAGAACAGTTAATTCTGTAGTGCCCAGCGCGGAGTGGTTGTGCATTCCAGTGTAATTCTCAGACATTAGTATGGCTACCAATTCTCAAGGACTACTGAAGTGAAGTAAGCTGCTGTTTGCATTTTGGCCAGAGCTCTCAAAGACCTAGCATAAAGTAGTGTAGATTTAGGGAACTGTGTAGGTGCAGGTGTGTAAGCTGTCTTCACTCAAGGATGGGAAATAAGCATTTGAAATATGTCCAAATCCATAAGGCATTTAGGCTTTGGCCACATTTTGGGGAATGGTCTAGGAAGCAGAGTGGTGATTCATTTACAGACATTTAGTAAAAGGACAGCAGTCTTCCAGATCTAGAGAACTTCCTGTAAATTTCACAGAATACAAAAGTCATACAAGCATTGTTTTCTGAACAGTTGTTGGTATGTAGGAAAAGATGCCTATTAGTTCTTATTAGTTCACAGAATCCTCATATCTTATCACTGAATCTTTCATTAATAATCAACGAGAAATTGCTACAGCTTAGAATAGACATAAAATAGTGGTGTCTTACTTCATAGAGGAAAAAAAACCAGGGGAAAAACACACCTAGCTAAATATGATACAAATTTTAAACTTTGGTATTATTTCTTTTATTGTGTTTTTAGTTGATGGCAAGGATGACTTGGGTGTTCTTCTATGTTGTTTAAGTCATATATATAACCCAGAGTTAACACAGCCTTTATCTAATAATCACCTCTCAGTTCCAGAGTTAATGAATAGGATGTTTGCTCCCTCTGTACAGGAAAATATGGGTATCTGTGCGTGCTCTACTAGCATGTTCTTTTTCCTTTCTTCAGTCCCACTCTTGCCATGGCCCACAGGAATCTGACTGGAAGCTGTAATGTTAACTGTGGATGTAAGATTCATGAGTACGAGCCTGTCTGTGGATCAGATGGAATAACATATTTTAATCCTTGCCTAGCTGGCTGCATCAGTGGTGGAAACCACAGCACAGGGGTAAGTGCTTCACCCACCACCCACACACAACCCCTGAGTAGCCCCTTGAGACCTGTGCAGATCGAAGACTTCTCTGTTCCTGGCTCAAGCTTCCCTCCTCTGAGCTTCAGAGAAGTTCTCTGCAGGTGACTTGTCCATTTCTGAGCCTTTCCATGATTTGAAAGACTGGCAGTGCTGTTCTTGCATGGTGCCAACCCACTTCCTTTAGTTATACACCAATTTGAGGCACAAGTTCATTTGTACTAAGTGAATCCTTGAGCTGAGTGAGTGCAAATGCCATGGCATAGGAAGGGCTGGTGTTTGCTGTACAGACCCCAAAGACCTTGGTGGCAGTGACCTGCATGCCTGCTGTTCCTGCAGGGCTTGGAGGGGTACCTTGGGTCAGTGTCATCTAACTCAGCTCTCTGCCAACAGAGGCAGACATGTCAAACTGTCTTTCTTCAAGCTCAGTCTTACCTTTTAGAGCAGTTCGGGGCTTTTTGTGACTCCTTCTCTGAACTGAAGGAAGAACTTAACTCTTCAGGTAGTTGGAAGTGTTTTAAACTGGGGTTTAAATTTAGTTAGGATTTGTTTGAAGTCTTTGGTGTTTGTGTCAGCCTCGTCATTTTGACCAAGTAGCTCTTGCACCTGCACCAGTGCACTGATAGGTCTGTGGTTTGCCTGGCTAGCTAAAGACTGCCCATGTATTCTGCTCTTGTAAAACAGTTCTACCAGTCCCACGGCCTTTTTCTAAACCTCTTCCAGGCTAAATGAAGGCTATCATCAAACTCAAGTCACAAGAACTTAAAAGATGTTAATAATCCACTTTCTTTCTTGGAAATACATTGCTTGTTACAACCCAGCATTCTAGTTATGCTGAACTGGAGAAGGACATCCTGCTGGTAAAACCAAACCATGGGAATTTGGCAATTTCCAGGACTGGGCACAAGAAGACAGTTAAAAAGTAGAATCTGACTTAAATATCAACACAGTATTATGGTCATATTAGTTGCCTTAAAAATGAACTCTTAAATTCTTCTGTTACAGTCTGTCCTTTAAAAAAGGATAATTAAGAAAGACAAGAAGTAATGTAAACATTGACTTTCTTAGGGCTTGATTGTGCTTTCCAGAAAGCTTACTTAAAAAGTATCAGTCTCCCAGTTTGCAGTTGTGAGCCAGCCTGTGAAGCAGGAGGATGTTAGGTCCAGCACTGTGTTTTCTCAGGTCACCTGGATAATGGTCTGAAAAAGCATGTTCATACATAGATGCTACTGAGAACAGATTAGTTTCCCTTAATTTTTTTTTTCTTATTTAGATTATCTTGCTGGGTTTTAGTAGAAAATTGTTTTGATCAATTGGAAAAGCCTGCAGTGTAAGCCTGTGGTTAAATTTCAGTGTCTCTATAATCTAATTTGTGCTTTCCTGGACTGAGACAGGCTTGGTCTTTGTTGCATTTCATCTGTTATTGAACCAGCACTATTAATTTATTTAGTAGGGAAATACTCTGGGAGTGTGTGGTCTACAGATTATGAAACATGCTGTTGCATTTTATGATTTAAGAAAAGATGCTGTCTGAAGTTTTAACTCAGTAGCTAATGGTGAATAGAATAGAGCTGACATTGCTTGGAAAAGGAACTTTTTTGGATTAAATAATCCTTTTTGTATGGTGCTTTTAAAAACAACAAAAATGTGAGTTAGTGCCACTGTATAACACACAAAATGTTGCTAACATATAATATTTAAGTTTATGACATAGAGTGTTTTCAAAATTAACCATTTAAAAGTTCAAACTAAGAGGAAAGGATACTAGTGTACAGTTCATACCTGTTTTTTATATATATACATATTTATGCATGTATCTATTCCTATACTCCTAATACTTCTGTCATGCTATGTCTGTCTCATTTAATACACAGACTTAGTTTCTCTGGGGATGAATAAAGAGTGTGTGGTAAAGAGGTCTAATTTCTGTAGGATTCCTATTTGGCATTTGCATTTGGAAGCAATAAAGAGTTTAGGATGAGGTACTATAGAAAGAAATCAGGTACTCATGTGATGTTAGAGTGGAGTGCTGCCTTTGGAAACCAGAATCTGTCACTGGCTTTGTTTCTAAGTGATGTTGGGCAAGTCAGTTAAACAGTACTTCTCCCCGTTGGTCATTATTCTTGTATTCTTCATGTTCTGGATGATGAATGAACATGAGCAACAAACAGAAGTGTCACTTGTAGATGGGCTGCCTAAATCTGTATTTGAAGTTTACATTTAGAATAAATGTAGTTGGGTATAATGGAAAATGTTGTGATCAAAAGGATTCCAGTTGTCTCAAATTAGTCACCCATGTTTGTGAAATCTTTGATCCATTTCAGTTACTTAATTACAAAATAGAGATAACATCAATACCTCATAACTATTTTGAAGATAAAGGACTCTTTTTTGAAAGAGTTAAGCTGTAATAGTCACTATTATAAAAAATCCAAAATGAAATATGAGTTCTTCCATCTTTGTAGTTGAATATTCTTTGTCTGAGGAAAAAAAATACCTGAAGTCACATTTGAAAATAGGAGGTAAAATATTGGATAAATAGATGCTTTATTAAGATGTTTGGCTAAATTCCATAAGGAAAAAAAGTATGAGGCTCCATGATGGCATGGATGCACATAAAGGTATATATTAAAAATTGCAAACTGCCATGATTTGGATATGTCTTGATGTCTAAGTGCTTAAATTCACTATCTTAAGACAGTTTTGTAACTTCTGTGCCTGTGTAGTCCAAGGTTTGATGAATGCAAAAATTGAAACATAAAGCTCATTTCTGTAACATTGCATATGTCCTGGCCAGTTTCTTCTGTAGGGCTGGAGTATACTGGTCTGCTGCACACCCCTTTGCCATACATGAGATGAAAACAGAAGTAACATAAATGTGAAAGAAGGCTATTTCTGATCTAGCTCTTCCTCCCCTTGTTCAAATCACAGTCCTGTTTGCCTGTGAAATGCTACTTCTTTATTCAGTCTCTTCATCTTAATTTCGTTCTCTTTGTCCATTCAGGGATCTCTCAGTGAGTCTTCCAGTCTCGCTCTTTTAGTCTCTGCTTTCCCTTTATTATCTGGTTTTGCTTCTGACCTGACCTCTGCCCACATCCAGGTGGAAGGTCCTGAGCTCCAAGCATAAAGTGCAGCTTGTTGCTCTTTGGCCAGATCTGGCCTTCCATTAACATGGCAGAAGACACTGCCTGAATATGAAAATCAGCAGCTTGCTGAATTTCAGAATATGGCATTTTCACTGCTGTCTGCAGAGCGTTTCCTCACATTTTTTGTAGTACAATAGAAACAATATTTTTCTCCAGCCTCCCTGTCACAAGTGATTGAATTGTTTTGTCAATATTTCCCAAATATGTTCCAGATTTTTAAAAATAAACTCAGAGAAATAAAGCAATGGAAAAGCAACCTCATCACAGAGAGTCCTGGCCAGCTTTAAAATTACTTGGAGATGTAACTTTGCTTGTGCTTGGGGTAATGATGCTCAAGGCAGAAGATTCTCAGCTGAGAAGTACCACAGGACTGTTGCACAATGTCTATTTGCAATGTCTTTCTTACAGATATTTTTCACATGGAACTGTTCTTTCTTGCTCTCCCAGGTCAGAAATTACACAGAATGTGCCTGTGTGCAGAGCCGCCAGGTGATCACTCCGCCCACAGTGGGCCAGCGCAGTCAGCTCCGGCTGGTGATTGTCAAAACCTACCTGAATGAGAACGGCTACGCTGTGTCTGGGAAGTGTGACCGAACCTGCAACACACTCATCCCATTCCTCATATTCCTCTTCATTGTAACCCTTATAACAGCGTGTGCCCAGCCATCAGCAGTCATAGTGACTCTCAGGTGAGAACTCCGAGATGTTTCGTATGTATGTTTGCCGTGCACGCTTATCACCAGTGCCTGTGAAGCTTCTGTATCCTTAAAAAGTGAATAGAATCCTTGTGTTTCCTTAAAAAGTGTATAGAATCCTTGTGTAGCCTTAAAAAGTGAAGGGGCTGACAGGGATAGGGTGAAATCTTTAGAAATATTTAGAATATGTGATATGGTAATCTGCTTTAGGAAACATGAAGTGTGCAGTAAATTCCAGCTGCTATAAAGAGAAAACAAGCAAAGCATCATGAAGAAAATGATTACTCCTGGAAAATTTTCAACCTTCTTAGAGCAATGGTTTGGATTTTCAAATGCAAATGAAAAAAGTTAGTATTTAAAATTATCCTTTTCTCACATTGAGGAATTTTGCCTTCCAGTTTGCCTTTCAAAGAATCCACAGAATGGTTGTAAGGGTCACTGTTGGGACATTGAAGCCAGGCACTCGGGGCTGGGCACATCAGAATTCCAGCTGCTCAGCCTTACCTCAACTATAGTGTGCACAGCAGCGTTGTGATTTAGAGACTTCTGGCTTCATTCCTTCTGCCTCTGGATTTCCCACATGTAATAAAAAAAATATTGCCCTTGCATTGCAATTAGCAAAGACAAATGAAAAACAATATTGCAGTGAACTTCACACTAGTGAGGTACATAAGGGACATCTCCAATAGGATTTTGTAGAGCTCAGTACAAAAAATGGGGGCCCACACACACATGGACAGTGACACCTGCTGTCCCAAACCACATACTGTGCTTTGTGCATGTGGCACAAGTTGGTTCTCTAATTTCTCAGTTTCTTGACGTCAAAACTGTTCCACAGCTGCATCAGTTTGACTGCAGACTTTTTGTGTGTTTTTATAGTGTATTTCAATGTCATTAGAAGCTGTAGATCTTAAGACTTTTAGATTAAGACTGAAAAATATTTCAAAATCAGTAGATAATTTGTAGTTTACTAAAATTGTAGTTGCAGTGTGGAATTTTGTTACTTTGTATTTAGTCTTTGTAAGCTTGACATTTTTCCTTTGAAACCGCTGTGTATTACTTGAATTGAAAAGGTATTTAAAGAGACTGTTTGTATGTTTGTACTGATACTTTTTTAAAGTAACTCCAAAGTGCTTATGCTACACAAAGATTTGTTAAATTCAGAAACTAAGTCCAGCCTTCAACAATTTAGTTATCTATTAATTCTAATTTACCTCAAAAACATTAAGAAAAATAAATTAAGTCTAATGAAATAATAGAAAGTTATCATGACAAGCCATAAACATTTTGTGTGGATTCTCTGAATTTCCTTAATGTGTTTGGATCAAATTCTTCAGGCCTTATACAGGTAAAAAAAGGTCAAAAGTCATGACTGAGATTTTGATTAAACAGGTCCAGGAGGGGCTGGCTGTATTTTTTCCTAGCTGTAGGAGTTAACAATAGTAGAAGCTAAAGACAAGAAATTTAGACAAAGATTTTCTGTAGCTGAGAAAAAAGCCATGAGGTAGAGCCAGAACATAGCAGGATGATGATGGGTTATGACTGTTCCTTCACTGGAGTTTTCTGTTCACCTGCTAGGTCTGTGGAAGATGGGGAGCGGCCCTTTGCACTAGGAATGCAGTTTGTTTTATTAAGAACTCTTGGTAAGTCCAACAATAGCTCAGCATTTCCATAAAGGCCCTGTTCAGCTCAAATGCACCATAAAAGTATTAAAATGCCATAAATCTGCAACTAATTGCTTGGCTAACTGTATTAGGAACCTAAAATTAATAACTTCTGAAAAGATTGCATCTGAAAATGTGGTTAATTTACTTTTTTGGTTACTTACTTTCTAGAACAACATCGTTTCACAAAAAGATAAATTTTTACTGTTTCAAATTGTATTTAAAAATTAATAGTTACCAAGTTTTATTTTATAAGGATTTTTTAGCTTTCAAAAACAGAATTCTGTTGCTTTCAGCAATAACAATAGTTTTTCTAATTTTTAAAATAAGCATTTGTTACTTAATGTCTTAATGTCTTTCTTCTAATATTATTTAATGTCTTTCTAGTGTTTCAAAGCAAAAATGGATAGATATTAAAGGTCTTTATTTTTCAAAGCATTCTCTTTCAAGCTCTTGAATTTCTAAAATCCTGCCCATAAAGAACACTCCAGGTGTTCAGCTACTATGAAATACATGACTAGAGCAAGCAAGGTCTATTCTAAGAGAACAAGAGAAGCCCATAAAGCTGCATCTTCAAGTTTTGTTTGAGGAAGGATGTTTCAATCTCATCTTAAAGATGTTGTATTTCTGAAGAAAGGAGGAGTATTCATTGGACTGGCTGCATTTTTAGCTGCCTTAGAAGTTAAAGTCTGTTTCTTGGGAAGATCTATTCAAAAGGAAATTTATAATCTTAATGGTCTTACCCCTTACATCTATCTTCAAAAACATTTTGTGATCTTCAGTGGTTTTTCACCTTAATCTAAAAACAGCACCTTTCCCAGCTCATGGGCAAAGGATGTTCAGCAGGTAATGCTATGGAGATAATGTATTTCATCTTCTATCTACCTGAGAACAAAATTGGATTTTTTTGGGGGGGACAAATAGCTCAAGAAGAGCTGTCTGGGGACAACAGAATGAAGTAACTGTTGTTAAGGTGCTGCTGCATTGGCTTCTTTCAATTCTCTCCCATTTGTGGTAGGTTTCATATGTGGGGTAAATAGTATTGGTGAGAAGATTGGCTGGCCAGTTTTCCATGTGTTACATTTCTTGTGAGAACAGCAGTGTAGAAATCTCAAAAATGTTCAACCTACACTCTTTAGCTGGGGCATATAGTTTCTTTAGAAGTTTTCCACAATATGCTAACACATATTATTTCTCATGCTATTTTTGTTTCAGCTTACATTCCCACTCCAATTTATTTTGGGGCTGTTATTGACACCACGTGCATGCTTTGGCAACAGGATTGCGGCGTACAAGGATCTTGTTGGGAATACGATGTCACCTCATTTCGTTTTGTCTACTTCGGGTTGGCAGCTGCTCTCAAGTTCGTGGGATTCTTTTTTATTTTCCTGGCCTGGTATTCCTTAAAGTGTAAAGAAGAGCAACTGCTGAGACAGAGTTGGAGGGCTTCACCGGTGAACACTGTGAGTGAGATGGTTGGACAAGCTGGACCCCAACAAAACTATGCACGGACTAGATCCTGCCCTACCTTCAGTTCCCAAGGAGACATGAGTGTGGCACAAGGAATGAACTGCTTAGCACAGACCTACCCCGGCCCTTTTTCAGAAGCAATAAATTCCTCAAGTGAAAATGCATTGGAAGAAGTCACTGTTGAGATATAGACCCCTGGCTTGGTAATGTAATATTTAGTTTTGTTGGTTGACTTAGTTACGGCGCCTTGTAAAACACCTGTGCCTTCTATTTTTAATCTAAATGTAACACGTGATAAAACCAACAAAGCTTGATGCAAACAACCATAATATGTTCCTGAGGGCTGGATACCTCAACCAACCCGAGTTCTTATTTCTCCCCTCCCGACAATGGAGTTTTAAAAATTGTGTTTGTAATTATTTCAGATGTGTCCATTAAATGTCCATGCTCTGATCTAATATCATTGTAAAGTTGAGGTGTTACGAACAGCAGAAGTCAGTGGAAGAGTGACAAAAACTCATATTGTTGATGTCTAGACTCACAAAAATGCTTAAATGTATTGTCAACTTTGTATCTGCAAATTGTATTTTTAAGAGATGAGTAATTACTGTGAGTTCTGCTACAAAGCACAACTGAACTTATTTAAACTATGCAACTTATTTGGATAATTGTATGTGCAGCAAATTAAGTTTAAAGCTTGCTTTTAAAGACATTACTGCAACTGAATTTGAAAGGGGCTATTTTCAGGCGTAATCATTAAATTAAAAAATAACATAAGTTTTTAAGTACTGTTAATAACATGTCAAGCCATACAAGAGTTATACATCAGGTAATGTTTGCAAATGTTGAGTTGTAACATCTTTATCCTGTCAAAATGTGCATTAATTTTCACCTGATGGGATGTAGTTATTCTTCACAAAGTATATAAGATACTGTAATGCTTGAAGTAAAAAACTTCAGTATTGGTTTATAGTAACATTAACATGTAGGAATCATACACACATACCAGAGCAGATATGTGCATATTTCTGCAGTGTTATTTGGGTGGCTGTTACTAGCACCAAATCCTGGAGAAGAAAACAGCTGGGTGTAGCTTGATAGGAAGTTTGGCTGTCCTTCAGAACTGCATGCCAGTCTAGTTCAGCTTCAGTGGGAAAGTCCCCAGGGAGAGCTGGTGGCCTCGTCTGGTGTCTGGGACGTGGCGGCTCAGTGACAGCAGAGCTCAGGCTGCAGGAGTGAGCAGAGGAGCCCCTCCAGGGGCTGCCAGCAGCCTGCCCACCGTGCTGCCAGCTGGGAGGCTCTCCCTGCACTCCTGGCACCCAGGGCAGCTGGGAGGGGAGGCTGGCTCAGACCCTCTGGTTTCTGCCACACTTCTGCCTCTCCAGCTGCCTGGTGCTGGGTGGGCTGGTGGGACAGGTCCTGGTTGTGTGCTGTGTCCCACACATGTCTGCCTTTCCTTTTCTCAGCTTCACTGAAAGCTCCTGTGAAGGCAGAGGGTGAGTTTGTCTCTCCTTTGGCCCTCTGGGTGAAGAGCTAAGAATAGAAATTATCAGCAAGTGTGGATATACAGGACATGATGTGGCCTTTGTTTATTCCAAATTACTGTAGTGTGTTCTCTCCCTGGGAGATGCTGAAACTTTCTAATCAAATGTGCTTGGCATTTCATTTCTTGCTCTGGAGGCTTTGCTTGTGAGGTACTAATGATGTCTCAAAGGGCAGAAAATTATGTCAGTTGGACACTGGGAAGTCAAGGCTGTATTGTGCCCTGCAGGGAAGTCTTAGAAGTGTAGGAAATGAAAAAGCAGTCTTTTAAGAGGACTCAGTGATAGTCTGGTTTGCATTTTGCTGAGTAGAGAACTTGTGTGAAAATAAATAGGAAAGAGCAAAGCTTCTACATATTTTTGAACAGTTATTCCTGATCTAATTTTTCAATTTAGAACATGTATATTGATCCAACATTATATAGAACCAAGTCCTTGAAAATAGAGGCAGTACTCTCCTTGGCATGCATTGAGTTCTCCTGGGAAGAGTGGATTTCCCTCTCTGCCTTTGCCAACTGCCTTTTGTCGTCATCTGGATCTTCTTGACCAGCACATGGGACTACCCATGGGGCTGCTTATTTGAGAATGTGTCAGTCCATTTATGTCGTTTGTAACAATTCTTACTCTTCCTGTCTGAAAACTCAAATTCCTCTACCCCAAACATAGAGGAATATTGTTTTGACTTCTTCCTACTATTCTGTCCATATTAACAGCTTTTTTTGGGTTAAGCCTGAGAATGTCTTTTCCTTTTATGCAGCCACTGGATACAATACGTCCTCAGTTAGTACCCACTTCCTGAGATAATTGGCTTCTACACTTCTTGTCCTGAGAAATAAATTTCCTTGGCTCCAAGGTGTTTGGTAAATATATATATATATATATATATATATATATATATATATATTTGCTATATGAGATCAGAATAGATGATAAAAATGTTTCCTTTTGCTTCAGTCTCAAATGCTTGTTGCACCAAGAATTTTATACCATGGCAAAAATTGGCAAAGTAGTATGACAAAGTGTAATTGCAGCCCAGCCCCCATCCATTTTTATCACTTCTCCATTTTAATCATCACAGGAGAAGTGAAGAGTGACAATCTTTTCAAATACCTCAGGAACAGAGCATTTAAGGAATTGTAAAAGACTGAAGATTAATCATCTGTCCTGATCTCTTGTATTTCATGCCTTGTGTGCTTCAGTTCCATACAAAAACCAAGGAAGAGGAGATTAGGATTGTCAGGAACTAATGGCACTGATGCCAAAGAATGAGAGTGATAAAAGTGACACTTCTGCAGCTGCTGCTGTTTCTGAGCTTTCAAGGGATTTCAGAGCTTGTTGCAATGGAAACCATCTATTTTTTAGGATATCCTGACCCTTCAACTTCCAAGAATATTTATATTTCCTAAATGGTTGAAAAAGTGGAATGTAGAAAAAAAGATGTTAACTTTGGAAATACTGAAAAGCTGCCTTTACATACTTTCAATTTTAATTTTTAATTGGAAAATAAATTTTAATTTTTCTTTAAGTATTACATGCAAACCAAAATGTAATTCCTTACTTTTCAAATAATTTTTTCCTGATTTTGGATAAAGATAATTTTGGCAATGCAAATAAATTTCTATAAAATCAATCAAGTCAGCATCCTCTGAAAGAAAGAAAACCCAGACTCTGGCCAGTTTTTGATTGATTCCTGAAAGAAGGTTTCTTGTGAGTAATCTGTAACAGTCTAAACTAAGCCAATAAGGGTCTTCAGGGGAAACACATTCACTTCTTGAAATGTTAATTCCGGCATTGCCATTGATGGGTGTATGGACTGAGACTTGCTGACCAGACACTGTGTTCTGAAGATGTCACTGCTGGAGGAAGCAGCATCTCCAGACACTGAATGCACCCCTAGCAGTGGTTGTGTTTGACACATGGTGCTAAACCAACTTCACAGAACTAAAAAAGAACTTTGCCTCTCATCTGGTGAAGGGGCCCATGCTGGCTTCCTACTGTGAGATCCTCTCACCACAGAACTTATAATTCCATTAAGTTGTAATTTCTGCCACCTTCCCTCTCTGTCCCTGAACACAAAAGGTTTGCTGGCAGTGAATCCAAGGAAAGGTGAAGCAGGTGTCCTGCTCACCCACAGGCTGCTATTGGTAGCAAACCCAAGTCACCTTTCTGCAGCTTACCAGCCAGTGATAATATGGAGCAATGTCTGGTGATGGCCAAAGTGCCACCATGCCATCATAGGGACAGAACAAATCCCTCTTCCACCACTTAGCCCTGATTTAGAGTGAGGAACATGAGAGGAGGAGTACCTAAATACATGGACTTGAGTGAACAGGTTAATTGTCCCTGCTTAGCCTCCCATTCACTCTTGTTTCCTCAAAAATGAGAAAACTTCAGAATGGATGCAGCCATGACCTTAGGTGCTTATGAACACAGCACCCTCAAGAGATAATTTGTAGATCTTTGCAGGGCTGGAGTAATCTGGAGAGTGGGACTGTCCATGTTTCCAGTTTTAGTCAAAAGCCCCTCTGGTTTTGGTTGTCCTTCTTCTCCTTGAGCATACTGGATAAAATACAGTATAATTTACAACCAATGGCATTTTATAGCCTTTCAGTACAGTGTGAGCAGCTGCAAGAACCTTTGAATATTATGGTGCAAACTGTATTTATTCAGAAAATTTCAGTTCTTTGGCCAGTCTATATATCTTTAAAAGTGCATGTAGTTCTTCAGAACGTACTGTTATGTAAGTGGAGGCACAAATCTCCTACTAAATATTAGAAATGTACATTTGAAAGGTCCTAAAAAATAGGACCTTTCAAAAATAGTTTTTTTAGTATTGCTTATTAATTTGTAGTATTAGCTATTCATTCATTATGGCTCTGATCCAGCAGAACACTTAATATGTGGGTAAATTTATATATTTAAGTAATGCACTTGAAAATAATGCACATTTGTAAGTATGGGACTGAATCCTGTCTGCATTCAAAAAGAAATTCATTTATCTAAAGAGTATTTCTATGCTGAGCATTTCCCCCATGGATTCAGTGATAATTGTAACCAGAATAGCACAAAGTAGCACTTGAGCACTCTCCTGTGGCATTCAGGTGTGGCTACTTACATATCCAACAATGGAGGAAGGCTGTCATTTTCAAATAGAATTCAAATTCAAAATATTTTGTGGGAATGGTCTAAGATTCATTCTCACTGTTCCTGCCATTCACTTATTTTATGAATTTCTGTCTGAAAACCTGTGTTTTACCCGGGGAGATAGATTACATAAAGGCATCCTTCTGCCCTTAGAGCCAATGAAATTGCTCAGGTAATGCTGTAGACTCAAATTGTGCCCTTTCACAGAATTTGGAGCTAGAGGTTCAGATGACAAATTGTCAGTATCCTGCACAAACTGAGCAGAGCCCTGCCTGCTCAGGGGAGCTTCAGAGAGCATTTCTGGGACAGCAGTCAGCCCCTTCTGCATTGTTCTTGCAGGTTTTCCCCCCAAAATACCTGAATAATTGCTGCCTTACTACACTTTTCTGTGCATGTGATACCACAGCTCTTCAGGCTGTTATATTGACATAAAACTGATGATAAATAGGTCCAAAGTGTCTTACTGCTATTTTGGAGCCAGATTCTTGGCCTCACCAGTCCAATGTTGAGGCTGAAGAACTAGGCCATACCTTGTGTTGGAAGTTAACAAGCTGGTGCTTTAGCAAGTGTTTGTGAACTAGGGAATATCAAGCTTGTTTAGCTTTTATACTCTATTCACTGGTTATTACTACTATATTTGGAGACAAAAA